TTGAGGCAACATATAACATATATTTCTTATTGCAACCGAAAAACTTATCCATATTGGTGCTTGTAATAATATTATAGCAACACTTTTAAATGGATGACAATTATTTTTTATGTATAATTGTTTTTGTTCCTTATTAAACTATCATAAAAAGTAAAAAAATTAATTCTTTAATTAAATTGATATAAATTGAAAAAGTTAGTTTGTATGCATAAAAGAATAAATAAATACATCACGTGTAAAAAGATAACGTGCACGATATGGAGATAGTTTTAAAGATATTACTTCCCTTTGCACTTTATTTTGTATTTTTTCTGCAATTTCCTTCAATTCAAATTTCAAATTTTCTTGTTTTGCTTTTGTGTGAACCTGAGATAAAGATTATATAACATATTTTTAAAAAATAAAGAAAATTAGAAGAAATAAAGAAAATAAAGATCAAATAATAATAATATACTTACATCAAGTATATTTAATGGGAGATTTATAATTGTTCTTGCTATAATTGAAGTAAGCATGATACTTGCCCACCATGGTAAACCTGTTTGATAATGCATCAATCTTAAAGCTTCTGTAACCAATTCCACAGGTAAGCTTTCAGAAATCATTTGAAAAATTCCATTATTATATGCGGCAAATTCATTTATAATTTTAGGAGTTGTATTTGAATATTTTCTACTACTATTAATAATGATAGAATTAGTAGAAATTCTTATGGTTTGTGGAATATACTTATTACATAATAATGGTTTTTTAAGGATTTCTGGATGTATTTGCCGATAAGTATTTTTCATATTTGATAAATTTCGTTTATTTGAAAAATATCTTATTAATATTTTATTATTGTAAAAAAATTTTTTAGATAGACGCACATTGGAAACATAATAAATAGAACGAGAACATTTAATAAAATTACTATTGTTATATTTAAAATCTAATAGAATTTTTTTAAACATTTGTGTGGTCATAATATTACAATAACAACGAACTTAATACTTGGGAACAAATATAGAAAGATGTATTTCTTTCCGCGTTTACATTGCGTAAATACAATGGGTATAGGTTAAGTTTTAAACTAACCTCAATTTGATAAAGGATTTAATTAAATTTTTTCTATTTCTTATTTATTGTTTTAATATATTTAATAACATAATATAACAATATTATATGTTTTCTAATTAAAATACAATGTATATTACATATTTTTAAGAATATGCAAAATATATAAATGAAAATAAATAATAATAAAAATTTGTAAATTTGTAAAATTCACAAATTAAATAATATAATTCAACATTGTTATTTACAATACATGAAAAAAATTTAGAATATAATATATTGAAAAATATATAAAAAAATTTCAATTGATCACACACCAAAAGTATAGACAAGAAAAGTAGTGGAAGAAGGATAGAGATAGGATAAAAATATTGAAATCAGCGCCATCTCCAGAGTGCCGTAAATGAAACACGTAAAGAAAGGACAGTAAATAGTGAAAAAAGGACAGAAATAGGATAAAAATTGACTATTAGCGCCATCTGTTGAATATATTTAGAAAAATTAGCGTTGCTGATCAATTCTTATTTCTATGAAAAAGTGTCTTTGAAATTCAAGAGATGGCGCTAATAGTCAATTTTTATACTATCTCTATCCTTTTTATTATATTTACTATCCTTTTTTATGTGTTTCATTTGCGGCACTCTAGAGATGGCGCTGATTTCAATATTTTTATCCTATCTCTATCCTTCTTTCACTACTTACTCTCCTTGTCTATACTTGTTCTACAAAACTTATACATTCAAGAGATAGCTACGATCTGGTATCTTCTTTACTTAATTTTTCTAATATATCTCAATAATTTTTATTGATATAAAAATATTGTTTTAAAAATATATTTTTCTTTTTTAAATAACAGACTTCTTTCTTTACCGACCATTGGTTAGTTCATAAGATTAGGTCCCAAGTATCCAACATAAGACCCCCTTCGGTCCCCATTCGATCTTTTGCCAGACCCCAAAAGGTTGCGCGTCAGGTGGTCTTTTTCCCTCTCGTTTTCTCCCCCACTATTCACCGCGATACATCGTAGTATACCACCTGCAAGGCGATTGGTCAGTTTAGAGACAGGTCAAACGGCAACACATCGGTTAGCGTTTCTGTCACACTCATCTTTCGTTTCGAAGTGAAGTCGAAGTTGTCGTCGATCCCGTTTCGAATTTATCTGAGACTGCGCAACCCACGTGAATATAAACGTGCGCGCGGTTTTTCGCGTCTTTGAAAGCGTATGCGAGGTAGTCCCGATCGAGAGAACAGTGCATTCCTACGTGCTTTAACCGCGATCTTTTCAAACAGTGCACATTATGCGCCGTGGTGAGACGAGTGTAGCGGAGTGTTTTGACACGAGCATGGTGCGATGATTTTTGTGAAATGAGCATTCGATGAATGAAGAAGGCACTGTTGCACACGGAAAATAACGTGGGAGGAACGAGCGTCGAGGTGAGTGCCACTATTTTTCCATCACGATCCCGCGAATTTGAGGTTAGGTTAGGCTTTCTCGAATCTCGCTAGTAGAAATATTCCGCCACGGTGGTCTCCGGAATGTGCTGCGTTTTCGACCATGAACAATACAGCCCTTCGAAAAGACCAGGCATCCGGGTCCTCTCGAATCGAGGCCTAAAAGAGCCCTTTTCACTTTTAAACGTGATGCGTGCCGGCGCATGTCTCTCTTTCTCTCGTCCTTCCTCTCTGGAATGTGAACCTCTCGGGGATCCTGCTGTGTTTCTACTATAGCCTTCTCTGCAACAGGTAGTGATGGGTCTCCTCTATAAACACGCTCTTTGCGAGTTTTCTTCTGTTATCACAAGATTTAGCATCACGTTTGTTTCCCGTGATAAATATAATAAATATAAAAATTTTGAATCGAATGCTTTATTAATTTTTTTTTGCATTGATATTTTTAGAGTATATGTTTATAAAATATACTTCAAATATTTATGTACATAGTTCATCGCGTATTCTCTGATATACTTTTATTTGTATAATATAAATTTTAAGCTGATTTGTTATAAAACAAATTTTTTTGTTCGTATATTTATTGTTAAGTGAAGATTCGTTTTAAATTGATATGCACATATAGTATAAATTTCATATCCGTTTGTTTTCTTACTGGAATATTACGATTATATTAAAATCAGAATGTTTAAATTCATTTTTAGTATTTAAAAATATCTCGTATCTAATATTATGTTCGTTCTAAAATTTCAAACGATTTACATATGTACGTATAGAAAATTTTTAGTGACATCTTAGAACGTGCTCTGTAAATGTTAAAAGGGTACCGTTGCATTCATACGTGCTCGATTTTCGGTGTGCAATTTGACCCGCATTACACGTTATGTGCTTTACGTAACATAGACAGATTTTGTAATCAAACATCTAACACGACATTTCACACTTCGAGAAATGTACTTGATCAAAAATAACACGTGTTTCTTCTACTACTAATTTTGAACTTGCAATTATATCATTTTATGTTTTTGTTTGAAAATCATATTGATATAATTAAATCATATTTATTCTTAATAATTTATATTATTTTATAAATCAATGTAATAATATATAAAGAGTTAATTGACATTTTTGAAGCATCTTGTATTTGAAACTACGGAAATGTATATGAATGAAACAAGATAAGATATTCTAACATTTTTCATTCATGTAGCAGATTGGAGTCATAAAATGGAAACAGTTTCTCTCTTTCTTATCACTTTTAGTAATATGTTACAAAAAAAATTATCAACTAAACAGTAAATTTTATTGTACAAGTAAACTTTCCACATAATGTTATTTGAAAAATTTTTAAATATTTAAAATCTTAATTTTAGATTTTTACAATTTAACTTGACCTTATAAAAATTTGTGTTATTTTATTTTTATTTTATTTTATTTTTTTTTTCTTTTTTGTATATAATTCGTAATTTATTTCACAAGAAACAAATTTAGACATTGCACAAATATCGTTTAAATATCCATTGCCAAATTTTCTTCTATATCTTGAATTAAAGATATTTAAAGTTTCAAATATTAAAAATAGGCATTGGCAAATTTAGATATTGTGTAAATCGCCTAAATGCTCAATGCCAAATTTTCTTTCCCTAATGAATTCGATTCAAACTCCGACAAGATTTAAACCTTAATTAAAGTAGGTAATTCACGTGCTTGTGCATATTGTTCTACGATTCCCTATCGCGTGTTGCATGCTTTTACCGCAATGTTTATGAATAATTTATAAAAACATTGAAAATTTGTATTCAAATTTGTTCTTCGTATCTTCTAATTATGTGGAAAGTGAAAAAAAAAAGGAAAATCTGCGTTAACTCTGTTTTCACTTTCCACTCTTCAACATCCCGTTTGAATATTTAACTTTCAGCCCATACATTCGCATTCATTAATAGAATATTCATATCGATTAATTCACATATATTTTCACTCATCAAAATACTTAAATGCTTACCATTTATTTTTCTACTTGTAGATCTCTCGATAGAGCTAGACTGTTAAGAGAGAACGTTAGAAAATGTACAGAATTACTTTCTATTATGTAGAACAAATATAATTTGGCCGTAGTCGAGTTTTAACAGGGAAATTTGAATGGAAAAATAAAATATAACAATTCAGATACTTTATTATCTTTATTTTAGAAATAATATTCTAAAAGAGTAACATTATCCTTTCTCCATAGAATCTCTTTGAGAAATTTATTCGAATACATACTATCAAAAGAAATAAAAATTCATTTTGATAGTCCATAATAAAGTAACGTAAAATATTTGAAAATAACATCGAGTCGATCGATAAATCAGAAAAAAATATATTATTAAAATAATCAAAGTAATATCATCGAAATATTCGAACAACGATATATTAAACTTACAATTCCTCGAATTTAATTCGCGTAAAATAAATTGTAAAGATATATAGGAACGTTTCGAGGAAACAATGATGGTAAAACGCTTTGAATAGTTTGATATAATAGAACGAAGAATGTTCGCTTCTCTTAAATATCGCAAGAAACTGAGGCAAGAATTTCATGGATACGGATCATATATATTCTATATAGATTCATTCGAGAATGCGAGTGCTCTGGTGATCGCAGAAACACGAGCAACAGGTTGCTAGTCGAACTTTCAAAGGATCCAGTTTTCATGTAATTAACCGTAAGAGATTGTACATGTAACTACTTGTACGTATGTTTCAATAATCTTCCGCGTTGACAAGAAACGATCCTCTTTTGTTTATTTTCGATTACGTTACAAGGAAAGGCCTTGAATTACGTAAAAAAAAAAAAAAAAAAAAAAAAAAAAAAA